ATGCTCATTGTGCAAAACCAGGTAAATGTTGGTTCGCCCCACGCCATAAGGCCCCTTAAAAATGCACTCTGCACCTCTCTTGTCTGTGAAGACACCAGGGTTGTTAAAGTTACAGTAACGCAGTAACGAAGTTACTGTAACGCGTTACTCGTTACTGTAACGATAACGATAACGCGTTACATTTTCGATTGGGCTGTATCGGTAACGCGTTATCGTTACCCTCGTCAGTAACGAGACGTAACGCCGATACATTTTACTCGTTACATTGGATATTTAGTTGCGAAGAAGTTTAAAGTTGGCGCGCTATCATTGCCTCTGTGGCGCGGGACGGGGCGGAGGAAAGGGGCGAGGTAGACTCAGGTTTTATGACTTCTCAGCATAGCTAGGCGCGGCGCTTAGGTCCGCTGGGCTGGGCTGCGGCGCGGGACTTGGGGAGAGGGGGGGGGGGAGATGTTGTGACTCCCCGCATCGGCCCCGCTGGCCGCGGAAGTGCGGTAAGGTTACAAGGAGGCCGCTTCGTATCAACGCCAGCCTCTGGCCCAGACATATGAGTCAGCTGTAGGTCAGCAGTCCTTTTGCTCTCCTGACCGCCACCGGCGTGTTGCCTGGTGGAGTGTTGGAGGCGGGGTAAGCGGGGGCGGAAGGGTAAGGGGGTAAGGGCAAGAACAGCAGGCGACAGCTTCCTTCGGTCACATTTGAGTCAGTCAGTCACAGCAGTCCGCCGCGTCGCTGTCGTTGCGCACGGCCGAGCCGTCCTGCGCGCCACCGTTTATTGGAGTAATACCCACCCGCGCTACCGTGATTTTTGTGCTACACCCAACCTACGGCAGGCGCCGCCACACCGAACGAAGACAGTGGATAACAGAAAAGGTAATTGGTCGACCAGGGTCATCAGTAGTTATAACTTTGGGAGGTGTGCGATGCAATTTTTTGCATCGTTATTTCCTAGAGGCGGCAGGGGACCGCGGCCGCGCGGCCATTGGCCCGTCGGTTTCCCTTCGCTCGTTCGGGCCAGGCAGGATGGGGAAGGGGGGAGGGGATGGAGGGTTACAGTTTTGGGGCATGGAGATGCCTACACTGTAAATCCGGGGTGTCCAGCAGGTAGGCGACAAAGTCGCCTGACCCGCAAAACTAGGCGACTTATGTCAGCTATCTGCTGGACATCTTCTGTTCTTCCGGGCAATTGCATTGTATGAGTCCATAGGCATTCCACCAACTGTGTCCATGCAATTACCCGGAAGAAC